TCCATCACATTATTGTCTCAGTCTTATCTCTACTGTTTCTCCAAAACAGATTATATTACTCAGTCCGTAAATTACACAGACAACCATTATAGCTACTTGCTTCAATACCCTTATTTTCTTAACATTAATAAAATAAAGCAGATATATCATCATTTCAATCATTATTTTATCAAAATCTAGAATTGTTCCCCATTCTGCTTAAAACATTCTTCATATCATGTTAATCCCTGTCAATCATACAATGCCTTTTTTTATTCTAAAACTTTTCATATCATTTAAACATTTTACATTTGACTTCCATAAATTCTATCAGACCATGTCTATTTTCATCACATATAGCTTTCTACTATATTTCTCCTTTCTTTTCCCTACATGCCAGTTCCTTCATTATCCTCTCCTTTCTTTTCTCAAACATGCCAGTTCCTTCATTATCTAACCAGTACATGATTGTTTGAACAATCCCCACACACACATATCTCACACACCAACCTTTTTGTTTTTTCACTTCCCTCTATTTCACACAGACAGCCTTATTGCTTCTTGCCACTTCAATCCTTGTCATATAAATTTAAGTTCTATAGACATCTAATGTCATGCATCCATTTACTGGATGAAGAAGTAAAAAACATTATTTCTCCTGGCAGTTCGACATTTTATCTTCAACTGAACAATCCATTATCTGTTCACATATTTTACACACATGTTGAACGCAGCCACAACAACCTTTTGTCCCGCTGCCCTGTTCCACTGATTCTCGCACACTCTTAGTCTATTTGTGCTCAGTGTTCCCTCCCTGGGAAAATCATGGTATTTTCTCAGTTTTTTCAATATCTAAAATATACATTTCCCCCGATACTTTCCTAGTTCTACAGAAAACCGGTGTATCAAATTTCGCAAGCTTGCTTTTGAGACATCCCCATACTGGCTGTTTTCTGTTCTCTGTGGATTTCTCTTCAACGCGCGTTTTCTTTAATCTGTTAGGCGTCCCTAAACAAATCCGATTCTTTTCTTTCAACCCAAATCGGTCGGGTTGCACTATTAGTGCCCTCCTAATTATGGTTTACCAAAAAATTCTGGTTCCCCCTTATTAGCCTCAGTACCTAAAAACAATTTGCTCCGTCGTGGAACAACTAATTTTCAGGGTACCTATCTGTTTGAAATCTCTTGATCTGTTACAGTTCTCACTTAATCCCAGATTATTTATCTGCTTGAAATTTCTTGTTCTGTTACAGACCTCAATTAATCTCAGATTTTTCCCTCGTATCTGTTTGAAATTTCTTGATCTATATAGATCTCAATTAATCTCAGATTACGTACCACAGAAACAGCCTTCAGCCAATATGGTTCAATTTCACTCTTCTCCCCAATTAAACTGAATTTAATTAACTTACCCAAAAGAAAATAAATTGAACTGTCTCTTACCAGAGATGCTTCTGTTGCCACCTGCGGGTTCTTTAGATTCCAGTGGTCGATTCTCCCGGCCCTGATATCGGTCGGCCCCTCTCTCTCAAGTTTACGAGGTAGAGCTGGAACTTACTTAGTCCAGGTGGCCAAACACCGTCCGATCTCAGGTCCAGGAGGCACGTCCAAGGAATATCAATTCTGACACCAAAACTGTTGTGGCAAAAATTCATCTCAAACAAACATCACTGCGTAAGAGACACTCAGAGTCAAATTATATAAAATAGAAGTATTTATTCTTGCAAGAATAGGAGCAGTCTAATACACAGTTGTTACCCTGTGCAGAAGAGTGACACACCCCCAGACAGACTGAACTAGCTTTTATCTTAGTTTCAAGGCCTTCTTCCCCCCAGTGCCTTCCTCCCAGTAGTTTTCCATAGACGTCACTAGTTGGCCCAATAAGCCCCCCTGCACCAAAATGGCCTTCTGACATCTAGGTCAGAGGTCCTTGTTCGTCTGTTCTCTGGTGTGTCTCCCTCTTCTGCCTCCCCAGGTACATAAACAGAATCTTCTCTCACTACAAGTGAGACACACATGTGACATTCTTTGAATCATCTATATTTTACTAAAGATCAATGAATATCATTAAAATTGCCACTACATGCTCTCTTCCAGCTTGCACTGTCAAACCTCTGCAACTGATCCAGATGCTGCAGCTAGAGAGGTCTTTATTGAGCCGAAGAGAGCGCGCGTCACTCCTCTCCTCACAAAACTGCACTGGTTACCAGTTAAATTCAAGGCACTGATGCTTGCCTACAGAACAACCACTGGCTCTGCTCCCTTTTACCTAAACTCATTACTCCACACTTACGTGCCATCCAGAAACTTGCAAGGAGGGTGACCAGACTTCCCAAAAAATTGGGGACAGTCCTGAAATCTAAGCTGTTGTCCCAAATCCGGCCCTAATTGTCCTGAAAATTATACTAAAGCAAAATCTTGAGTAGTCTGATAAAACATGACAAACTGTCCGTGGAGGTTGAGTCGTCCTTCAGCCCCCGCCGGCTGCTCATTGGCTGCAGCATCGCTTCTTTTTTTGAAGTTCTACAAAGATACCGTAGTCGTTAATTTAGATATGCATCGATAAGCTAATTTTCATTCAAAAATATGAATGGCTATAGCCTGAAAGGTCTGATTTACGCACTGTTACAACAGTCATTGTTTTGGGAGGGTTTCGCAATGACATTTGAGTTCATGATTTCAATGTTGTTTTTTCGTGGCAGACTAAAGACTAATGACAGACTGTTGATCTTTGAATAAAAATATGTTTGGTTTAGGTTTGAAATTCATTTATCTTTTATTATATGTAGTCTAATATCATAGTAGGCCTAAATCATCACAGCACTTTCATATTGTTGTCCTATTGTTAGTTTAACTGCTTCTATTGCTCTCCTCATTTGTAAGTTGCTTTGGATAAAAGCGTCTGCTAAATGATTAAATGTAATGTAAATATAAAGTGTTAATAACTGTGTCAGTTTTTAGTGACTTACACTATTTATAACAATGTGAGCTGAAAACAGGAAACAAACAACACATTATTTTAATTTGTCTTATTTAGTCAAGTCATAGCTAAAATAAGTTCTGTGATATCTCTATTTATTCACATTTCTCATTTCCATTTTGTTACAGATTCTCTAATCTGAATGAAAGTGTTCAAAACAGATTTCTTCTGAGACTCTTGACTAAAGCAGCAGAGACTGAGACACAGACAGGAGAGCAGATGCTGAAACTGTTATCATCAGTCTACAAATCTTTTCCTTATCAAGCGACTAACAGAATTAAACAGAGTGATTTCCTGCTGGATCTTTGCTCACATGTGAAAAACTATGAGACTCAAACAGGCAGGAGTTTCCTTCCAGCATTACAGTCAGTTTTCCAGTCTCCTGATGTCTGGATCATAGATCTCTCACAGAGAAAGACCTCCGTCCTCCTGGAAGTGCTGAAACTCCAGACAGAGAAGAAACCAGTAAAGCTGAGAGGATGTTCAGAGGAAGAGAGTGAAATGAAGAGTTTCCTTCAGTGTCTGTCCTACATCTCACAGGTTAGGTGAGAGAATCTACAACAACTTACAGTGTCAGTGTTCTCATGTTGATCTTATTCTTAGTTTGGTGACAGAACCCTGACACTCATAATGTATCTAGACTGGACGGGACAAAGCGACTTCAAGAGCAAGTTTGTTCTTTGTGTCAGAAATAGCGCGAGCGCTGGAAGTACGTCAGGAATTGAACAGAGCTTCAGTTTACTGTCAGGAGTTTGTTGTGGCGCTGCATCCAGTGTAGACAGCATCACTGATTATAATGGGTTATATTTGCTGCTCACGTGTGGTTTAGACGCAGTGTCTGTGTATTCACAGGATACAATTTTTTTGTGATAGCACACTTTATTTAAAAAAAATATATAAAAACTAAATCCGTTACAACCGTTGAATACTAGAGACAGATGACAGCTCCTTCATAATTGTGCTCTTGTATTTAAACGCACTCACACATTGATGCATTGCTACACAATCATGGAAAACTTGGAAATTGAAATTGGTAATTTTAAAATTGTGATTTAGGCCATGAAAAATCTAGAAAATAAATTTTTAAAAAGTTTAAATATGTAACTATTCTAGTCAAATATGTAATTATTTTGCTCCGTTATGCTCAGCTCTAAAATATTCGACCAATATTTTGGACTCTTTGTTGCATGGAAGCCTATTAGTTTCAGTATGTCATAATTTACATACTGAAAACATTTACTGACGCTCCAGAAGGCGAAAGATTGCATTAAAATACAAGGGGGTGTAAATATTTACATTTATAGAGGGTAACATTTATTGAAATATTTATTGGGGGTAAATTGTTATTATTTTGTCATCTGGAAATATGTAAGTGTTTTATGTAGCTTCTGCAGGGCAGTAATAAAAAATAAGATCTTATAAAATAAGGATGATCCAATCCTCCTTTTCAAAGGTTTATTTCCCACCGGCTCTTGATGTGTTGTGTTGCCTTGAGCATCAGTGAATGTTTGCAGCTTTTGATCATTCAGATTCATTACAACACATATGAACTGGATCTTGTGTGTAAATTGAGTTATTATTATGTCTTGTGGTCTATATGTAAACAAACATCATGTGACTTGACCTGTACATATATTTAAAGTTCCTCTCAAGTTACTGTTCATGCAATAAACAATACAAAGTAGTTTATTTTTCATAGAAAGTATTAAAAAGACAAAGAAGGTATTAAAAAAACTGGGGGGGGGGGGGGGGAAGCATTTTATCTAGTATTTAATACAAGGTCATTAGAAATCAAAGTGGATCATTCTGAATCCTAGAACGGGCCTGTTCGAGACGCGAGCGCTACGGTCACACATGTCTGTCTAGCGCATGCTTATATTGAAAAACAATGGAGAAGTAGCGCAGTGAATGGGAAAACATGTTCTGTATGAACCGCCCCTAAGAGTCTTCAGATTCTTTACTCATGAAATACAATGCATTGTTCATTTCTTTGTCCAATTGTAATGAGTCATTTTAATCAAGTATTTATTGTATTTTTCAGCTGTTCTGAGCAGTGTTTGTTAGCTTTAGTTGAAGTGGTTGAGCTCAGAGAGAATCCAGAGCTGGTGACTTCACTGTTGGAGCTTCTCGGCTCCTCCGTCAGTCTGGAAGGAAGTTTACCCAGTAAATCCTGCAGGTCTGTGGGACGAGTCTTACGCTTCTCTTCTGACAGACTCAACCTCTCTCTAAAACCTAAAGCCATCTCTATAAGAGGAACCAGGCTTCTCTTCAGACACATCACACACATACACACACTCAGGTACAGACAGGATTATTAATTACCATTTCAAATGTTGATATTGATTAATTTTCCAGCTAATATTTACAGTGTGTGTTGTTTTGTTCAGGCTGAGTGTTTATATGGTGCTGAGAATAGTGCAGGTGTTGAGGTCAATGAGGGTTCAAACTCCCGTCACTGTTAATGAACTCACACTTGATCTGAATGGTGAACGGCTGTCAGAGAGGAAGTGGTCGAGAGTCCTGAGCAGTTTGGCCATCTTTCTGAGACTCTGGACTGTCCAGTGTTTGAACCTGACTGAACACAAGATGGCGTCTGTTTCTCTATGTGTCCTACTGTGTCACCAGGCCCCAGTGATTCTCAGGTATAAGACTATAAGACACATTTCAGCAGTGTTTACCTTATATTTATCATGGCATAGAGATAAATCAGTTAATTCTGTATGTGTAGAGCATCTAAAGAGAGTCTCCAGAAGCTGGTTGAATGTGTCTATGAAGCTCAGGAAGAGGAACTGACTCAGCACTTCCTGCAGAAAGTGGGCGGAGATCTGACTTCCTGTTCCTTGAGCTGGGAAGAGCTTCACTATTTCCTGCAGCACAGAATTCAACAAATCACTGTGAACTTCAGAAAGAGCGACATTCAGTGCAACATCACTGCCATTTCTGAACAGGATTCAGTTTAAACGGTAAGCTGTTCAATAAATTATTTCTATCTCAAAAACACTGTAAAAATGATATAAAACCTCTAAATGAATGGCAAGATTTAAATTTTATTTTTTTCATATAAAATCTCAAACTGAATAAGAACATAAAATCAATCTTTAATATTATAATATCTTTAATCATGATGATGTGTGTGTGTGTACAGGATGAGCTCTGTCTTCATGCTGTCTGTAATCACAGAGATCTATGAGAGCGGCTCTGTTGGGTGTGTGTTCAGTCTGTTGAGTTCAGTGCAGAACTACATCAGCCTGCAGAGCAGAGATCTGGACTCTGTCCACTGTGCGGCGCTGCGCTTCACACTGCAACACTGCACTGCAGTTTCACTCGACCTGCTGTGGACCTCCATCCCAGAGGAAGAGCTGGAGAGCATTGTGCCTCTCTTCAGACATGTGTCCCGCATGAGGTCTCGCTGCTTTACTCTGGAGAGGCTTCTCAATGCGAAGGCTGCGTTCCTCCTTTACCAGTCCTTCTGAAGCGTTACACACTGGAGTCTAGTGGATCTGATATTTAAAATATATGTTGAAGAAAAAAACCTATATATTAAAAATCTTTATATTTTCTGACTTAATGTAGTACTAAATGGCAATCATCCGTGGTCTCAAAGGCTGCTTTCCAAAGATCCTACAAATTGAATTCGCCAGTGTTGTGTGATCGAGATATGCAGCCTTTCATTTGAGAAAGTCCTTATTTCTCTCTTCTCCTCTTTCTCTCGGCTGTTTGTTACATTCAACAGATTTTGTGTGATATAAAAGCCTTGTGGCCATCATGTGTTTGTGTGTGTTCAGTGTTGATGATGATGATGTGTGTGTGTGTGTGTGTGTGTTCAGTGTTGACAGGCTGCTGTTATTGAAGATGCTTCACTACTGCAGTGTTGTGTGTGTGTGTGTGTGTGTGTGTTCAGTGTTGACAGGCTGCTGTTATTGAAGATGCTTCACTACTGCAGTGTTGTGTGTGTGTGTGTGTGTGGTCAGTGTTGACAGGCTGCTGTTACTGAAGATGCTTCACTGCTGCAGTGTTGATGATGGTCTATGTGTGTGTGTGTGTGTTCAGTGTTGACAGGCTGCTGTTACTGAAGATGCTTCACTGCTGCAGTGTTGATGGTGTGTGTGTGTGTGTGTGTGTTAAGTGTTGACAGGCTGCTGTTACTGAAGATGCTTCACTGCTGCAGTGTTGATGATGGTGTGTGTGTGTGTGTGTGTGTGTGTGTGTGTTCAGTGTTGACAGGCTGCTGTTACTGAAGATGCTTCACTGCTGCAGTGTTGATGATGGTGTGTGTGTGTGTGTGTGTGTGTGTGTGTGTGTGTTCAGTGTTGACAGGCTGCTGTTACTGAAGATGCTTCACTGCTGCAGTGTCTCTGATGTCCAGCAAGAGTTTTCCTCAGTTCTGCTCTCCGTCCTGCAACACAAGCTGGACTTCTCCTGCGGTTCTGCTCTGGATCTGACAACACACACACACTCTGAGACTTTACATCTGACCACTGAGGACTGCCGTGTGGTGACCACAGTCATTCAGAGAGCTCTCACACACACACACACACACAAACACACAGCTGATTCTACAGGACTGTGAGGTTAACACAGCTGGAATGGACCAGCTGTTCCCAGTGTTACATGCTGTTAAACTCTGGTGAGAAACATCCACAGGTTACATTCATACACAAACAGACAGAAATATAATATAAATATTTCTCTTTCTGTGTGTTTCAGCTGTGATAAATCTCTGCTGCTTCAGTTTCTGGCTCATGTGAGTCCTGAGGAAGCGGAGTCTCTTTCTCGAGCTCTGGGTGACGAGGTGGACCTCAGTCAGACTCCTCTGGAGCCGCAGGTCTGTCGAGGTCTGGCGCTGATTCTGGAATATTCTGAAGGACTGACTGAACTGGATCTGAGTCAGTGCCGTCTCACTGATCCCAGCCTGGATCTGCTGCTCACAAACCTCACAAAAAAGAGAGAGAGAGAGAGAGGTTCAAACAGTTCAACAGAGACCCAACGGATTCCAATATTAATCTAGACCACTTTAAGCAGCACTTAATTGAGATTTGTACATTACTTGATTTAAACACGGTCCCTTTGTGTTGAGTTGTGTTACAAAGGCAGCGTGGTTGGAGTTGTCTGGCGCGTCTTCTGGTAGGAGGCAGATGTTTGCGATTGCTTCAGTTGCGGCCCGTACGAGAGGCGATTAATCTTAAACTTGTTTCGTTCTTGAATGAAACCGAACTATCAACTGAGGTAGATCGAAAGATAGCAACTTAGATTTAAAACAAAGTAGAAAAACGACGAAGAAGGAAAACTCCGGCTGGAGTTTAGCAGGAAAGTTTAGGAATCTCTCTCTGGCGTAGGAAACTGCACAGAGGATAAGGTGGCGGTCTATTTTAAAGGGGCGAGGGACGCGCCTTTCTCACGTGTTTGATCCAATCGTTTTGCAGGAGGGCGGGTCGGCAGACCTTGTGATTCACGCCCTCCCGGATCATGTGCATAGGGGATAAAACTTGTTCGAAATACCCTTCTAAACTAGTATTAATAAAAGCATGCATCATATTACATTCTGGGTTGATGATTCAATCTTCTTTGATTATTCTGATTACAACCATACCAAATTTGGCATTCCTAGGGCTTAGTGAAATGCAGATACATGATTTTCGTGATTAAAACGGATGTTAAATTGATCACATATCATAAAAGCTTACGGTTATACCAGTTTTGTCACCAGGGAATCATGAAAACACAACCACAAAACATTATACATTTACAAAAGGGGATTTTTTGATCCCATGTGTTCCGAGTGTTCCGTGTGTGTAAATGGGTGTTCAGAAGTTCAACCAGCGTTGGTCACGCGGTGAACTCGCGACCAGTCCCGTGTGAGCGTGTGTGCTTCGAATTTGATGAGTTTACACAACTGCTACAATGGCCAGTTGTCTAATCTTACAATTCTCTTCTGTGTGTGTAAGCGAAAAACCCCAGGGGGATTCCACGTGTGTGTAAGGTCCGTCTGTCCACTTTGCTCAGAGGGAAACCTCATGAGCGACCACGCCGTTTCGGATGCGTTGGCTGTTGAGGTACATCACGGGCTGGTGGCAAGTGTCAATGATAACTTTCTGTGCTCCAATGTAGTTGGAGAAACGCTGTATGGCCCATACCGTACAGAGCAAAGCTTTTTCACAGTCTGAGAATTTACACTCTGGAGGGAGAAGCGTCTTGCTGGCATATGCGACCACCTTTTTGTCTTGATCGTGCAGTTGGTATAGGCCCGCACTGAGACATTGGTCAGAAAATCCTGCTTCCAGGTAGAATTCCTTTTGAGGATCGGGGTAAGCGAGACAAGGGGCTGAGCATAAATGTCTTTTTAGTGCCGCCATGGCGTGTTCTTGAGCGTCTGACCAGACGAAAGGGCAGTCCTTTTTCAGCAGCGCTGTGAGGGGCCTGGCGATGTCCGAATAGTTTTCGATGAACTGTCGGGAGTAGTTGCATACCCCTAGGAAGCTTCGCAGTTCAGAGACGTTAGTGGGAGGCTTGATGTTTTGAATGGTGTGGATACGGTTTGATTGTGGTTCGATGCCATGGGATCCGATGAGCAGGCCCACGTAGTTGACCTTGGTGCGGCACCACTGACCTTTGTGGAGAGCTATTTTGGCGCCGGCAGCAGATAATTGGTTCAAAACATAGTCTATTTCTTTCAGGTGGTCTGCCACTGTCGCGCTCCTCATGAGAACATCGTCCACGTAAATCAGGTTACCTCTCATCCTGGCGTCAGGACAGGCTTTGTTCAGGAAGATGTTGAACTCAGCTGGTGAGTTGGCGTACCCGAACGGGCATCTGTTGAAGGTGAACTGTCGGTTGCCAAATGTGAATGCCAGCTTGTGTTGGTCTTCTGGGTGCACTGGAATGGTCCAGAATCCAGAGGCCACATCGAGTGTAGAGAAGATGGTGGCTCCTCTGATTCGGGGTATTTCCTGTTCGAGTTGGGTCATGGGCCATCATGATAACGGCACCTGTTGATTCAGCTTTCGATAGTCAATGGTGGGCCGCCATTTCCCATTCGGTTTGAGAACGGGCCAGATGGGGGCAGAGTAGGTGCTGTTACATGGACGGATGACACCTTTCTCAAGCATGGATTCGATGATTTCCTGCACTGGTTCGTGCGAGGCGATGGGAATTTTGTACTGCTTGACGAAAGTGGGAGGAGCCTCGGGATGCGTGGGGATGCGCACCGTGTGGAGGTTGGTAAGGCCACAGTCTAAAGAGTCTTTGGCAAAGGATTCTTTGAACTTGTAAAGGACTTGTCTTAACCTTTGGCGGTCTGTGTCATTCTGAAGCGCGTCAGCCTCTTGTAGAATTTGCTGCACTTGAGATTCAAAACCCTGATATGGCTCCTCTGTCGATGTGTCATCAGTCGGGTTGATCTTTGAAGGCATAGCAGGTGCATTAGTCTCACTGACAGGCTGGTGGGAGACTGTGTACACTGCGAGGTGTTGGTCCTCTGTAAGCTCAGTTCTGCACACTTGGTCTTTGGCCACTGACATGACAGATGTGATGGCAATGAGTTGGAAGGGCAGCGTGAGCACTGTGTTGTCTGTGTGCCCTTCAGGTATCAGTGCAGGTGGAAGGGGGCCGATGACCGGTAATACAAGTTCAAAGTCATGAAAGTCATGGCTCACTAGCCATCCTAGCCTGTAGGCTCTGGGAATGCTGATGTCCCTTGCTGTGCAGTTGTTGAACAGAATGTAGACTATCCGAGATGACACTTCCGTGAGGGGTGTGGCTTCGAGTGTGAGTCCGAGGTCTCCACATTCAGGTGAAGGTTGGAAGAAACCTAGCGTGTGGTTCAATGTTTGGTTCCGTCGTATGTTGAGGCGTACAGCGACCCCTTTGGTGTAGGCTGGTACTACTGTTGCTTGTTCGTTGATTAGGGTGCAGACTTCAGGGATGGTCTGTCCCGACAGTAGATTGTCATGATTGCTGGGAACAGGTGGCTGTATAGTCAATGGGGCCCATACCACTTCATTTAACATGTCCACATGAGCTTTGAGGCGAATCAGAACGTCTGCTCCAATGTAGACGTCGTGGACTGGATCCGGGAGGATCAGGAAGTAATGGGTCAGGCACCGGTGATTCCACTTTAATTGCAAAGCACAGATCCCTTTGGCAGATATCATGGAGGATGGATTTGAGTTGAGAGGGAAGCGTGTGCGTTTGCTGGTATAGGGCAGGTCCGGTGTGTTGTCAATGATTGCATTGAATAGTGAGAAGCTTATGGCGGATTGGTCCGACCATAT